GTTTTGCCAGTTTTGTGTTACCACTCCAGTGTACCCAAGTGTAGTTTTTGAATTTTTTTTTGAAAAATCGGAAATCTATACACTGATGGACGTAGATATCAATTCGATTTATCGGGTAAATCGCATACTCTGTCGAAGCACTTACTTCTTTGGGGCCTTCCTCTTCTTTGCAGGCGCTTCCTCGGCGCTTGGCCCGACGTCTTCGCGCCCACGACGGTCCTGATTCGCTTTCGCTGCCACTACCATGGCCGCACGGTGGTCTCGGCGTGCCTGCTTGGCTGCTTTGGCATCCAGGTGGTCTTGCGCACTCGGTTTTGCGTACAGTGGATCGTCTCGGAACTCCTCAGGGACGTATGGCCTGATGTTATGGTACATCGTTTGGCTTTTCTCCACATTGGGCGGTGGTGGGGCCAGCACCTCCACGTGGTCGCTCATCATCTTCACCACCTTCTCCTTTGTCGTGAGGATACCGTCAAACTTACGCCGGAGATTCATCTCGACAGGCTCATCGTTAGGTTCCTTCCTACACGACACTACTCCAATCGACACCTCGTCCATGGAGAAGATCTGATATTGCTGAATGCCTTCTAGGCGTTTGTACAGCTCCGTCAGCACGCCCTTGTAACTCTTAAACTGCGAACTACCACGTGGAATGTGAACTGTCACAGAGTTCGCCGCGGCTTCCTTAACAGCGTCCACTACCTGAGCCACAGTATAGCAATCTACTTTCGCAACATGCTTGCGAATATGACCGAAGCCTCGATCGCACGAGTTCCTCGTGTGGCCCTTTACAAAGAACTTGTAGTCTACGTGCTTCAGCAGCCCCATGTCCACTTGCGCCAACAAGAACTTGATGACGTAGTTGTTCTTGTTCTGACCCGAGCAATTGTCAGCGTAAACAGTCAATCTATTCTTGCCTTCAGACAGAACCTTGGTCCGGAGAAAATGTTCTAGCATGGAGTTGATCTGGTCGCTGCCTTTTCCACTCGCTGTTCCATCGTAGAGGTAGTTGGTTTGAATACCGTCGTTCTCGCAGAAAATGCCGAAGCAACTGACGGACAACAGTGAGCAAAAATACCACTGCGACGGCGTACTGGCAATGCTAGGAACAGTAAGGTTCTGCGAGAAGTCCATGACGATAACGGCGTGGTCGTCGCTCACTGAAGTCTTGTCCTTCTTGCATTCACGGCTGCAACCAAAACAAAAATATATTAACATCCCCTGTTAAAAGTTACCAGTAGATTAAATTGATACCAATCTCCCTTACCGCATTTTGCGAGCGGACTCCGTGTGTCTGCCAAGCGCCTCGGTTTTCTCTGCACTGACGTCGTTGCGCATGCTTGTATGGTAGATGGAACAGATATCACACACGTTGCTTCTTGGCGACCGAATGCGAATGGTCGGACAATGGAGCGTCAGTAGCTTCCTCATCGTCGAAGGTGCAGGCTCTCGGACGCGCAGGCGAATCTGCTCCACGAAGCTGTGCATCTCCTCGTACAAAACATTCCATGTGAAGTGCGCGGGCAGTAGCGTGTACCTGTCGCTGCTGTAATATTTCTTCGTGACGCCATCCTTCGTCTTCTGCATTCGAACTCTCACCGGCACAACCTCCCCAACCTCCTCTGCAAACTCCTTAAACCACTTCACTAACCAGACCAGTTCGACAGCCGCTGCGTTCTGGTTCAAAGTGTTCCCATGACTCTTTGCCCCGATATTTCCGTCACGGACGTGGTTTTTGTATCGTTGAACAGTGAGCGGCACCACACCGTAGCAGCGAGCAAACGTGGGCCGACACACCTTGCCCACGAAAGGAAGATAGTATGCGAACTTATCCAGAAGTCCATACCCACGGGCACGATCGACAGGCACCTGCATCAGTGCCCCCAAAAGAGTGTAGAGGCTGATGGACTTCTCTGTGTTCGTCATTGTGGACAGCGAGCAGAGCAGCAACTCCGGCTGCTTAGTCTTGCTCTCCACGCAGCGATTCCCACACGCATCAGCTTGAAGAATGGAGGTAACTTGGCCACGAAGATCCTGGTCCATCAAATAGATACCAATGTCCTCGTCACCCTCAGCAGCAGTGTCCTCCTCTCCACTATCTGCGCTCTCAGCTGTAAGGGGCTCTTCGTCGTAACTAGATGCCTGTGAGTCGGGGGTGAAGTCCTCGTCCTCGCTGTCGTCAAGCTTCTCGCTGTCACTCGCGGCGCTTTGGCTGCTACAGCCTACTTCTTCTTCCGGTTCCCTGGGGGCGACCGGGGCAGCAACAGGAGCGCCAGTGTCGGCACGGTGAGCAGTTCCCGACGCGTACGCTATTAGATCCTCCATGGTCGTCTGCTTTGTAGGTGATACACCTCGATCCAAATTTTTGAAAAGTAAAAAAGGCTCTAACTCAGCAATTCGTTTATGTACGAAAAACTGTTGGTCAACTTCAGAGCCGTTTATCTCGAAAACGCTAAAATGTTGATTAGTAACATTTTGTTTGCCGCCGTCTCAAATGAACATTTATTACGACGGTCACTGAGAATGTCCACTTATCTATTTTAGATATATTATGCGAACTCAGGCGGAGAGAAATGTTTGTTTCCGGCTCTCCTCGTACAATAGATTCGCTTTTGCAAGTATCCAAGTCGTGGTTTGGGAACTTACTCCGACTGTTTGTAGAAAAATGTTCACCAAGTGTTCGCTCATTGGTTAAGATTTGTTGCACTTGGTCATACAAACATTGATAGGAAAAGTGTTTCACCAAAAGAGCTTTTGAAAAGTCCTTTTCATTTCATCATTCATACCATGAGGAACAATCACAAGAAAACCGACGAGTACCCTGACGAGTGGGATGTCGTTGAAGACTCGCAAGATCCTGACGAGCTTTCACTACCGTTTGAGATCGTGGCCGAAACACAAGACTCTGACGAAGGTGACACGAGCGAGTTGAGCCAAGACCTGTTGCAGCTCACTGTAACAAATACAAAGGTGGTCCACAAGCAGACGAAGAAGTCTTCGCTCAAACGGCAACAGCCAAAGAAGGTGACGGCGAAGAGCAAGAAGATTCAAGTCAAGAAGCCAAAGCGGGTAAAATCAGAAGGAACCATGCTCGAGAAAGCGTTCCGGAAAGGCAAAGGCTTTTGCAGCGTGGTCTGTCGTTTGACATCAATCTGTCCAGACTCGCTCCTCGTCGAAGAGATCAAACGCACAGCTCGGGCGATGAAGCAGATCCAGATGGAAACATGGCATCTTGCGAATATACACACGCTACGGTGTCTCGAGAACAATCTTCCTTCACCAGACTTCGGCAACACGTTCTTCGACCACTGCTGTTCGGGAGTATCCTCTACGGCTCGAACCCGTCTCATTGCCGAAAAAAAAAATCCTTCGTTGTGAGAATTGATTCAGATCTACCGAGCCGATCGAGAACGTGCAGGATTGGAAGAGGTTTCTCATTTGACTGGGTATTCGGAACTGAAGAATGATATGCAGTAGACGATGGTTACCAATGCTGGCGTCATGATTCGAGAGCACTTTCGTAAACGACTGCGGGCGTACGTGGAGATTACTTTTGGTGGAGGCCAAAGTAAGAAAGCGAGACAAGAACGACTGAAAAAGATCGTGCAAGCTTGTTACAACGTCGAAGAGACCGATCTCTTGGAAGCGTTGCAGATGCGAGACATCCTTACTCCCAATGATGAGGAGTGGAGTGACAAGTGGATCCCGTGGTCAAACCACATCAAAGGGAACGGTATGGGATTCTACGTTCGACTGATTTGGGAGTTCCAAAGCGTTACCAGTGGACTGTTCCAGGGGTAAACCTGTCCGTCACATCTTTTCAACAAAATCGGTGGACTGTCATGCGTCGCGCTTTCAACATTGAGCGCTTTGAAACCAGAAAACCGGAGTGTCCTTTAACCAAGTCAGAGTTTGCGCGTTTGTCCGTCGAAGAGAAATATGAACACGCCAGCCATCTCTTCGCAAACCAAGTGATGACGGACGGATATGGGGCTTCCGTTTTATTGATTCGGCCGAAGACGGAAGACGAGAAGACGTCTGACAAGAACTGTTCCGAAAGCCCTGTGGTTCCTCTTGGTTACGTAGATCTAAGACTCCTCGTCATCGCAACGAAAGAGATATCGTGAGTGTGACGACACGCGAATACCGTCACATGGTTGGGTTCAACCGATTCCGAGCGTGGAATGAAGGACAGAAACGGTCGCATCCAGAGTATTGGAAGATCATCGCGGAGATGCCTTCGTTCAAAACCGCAAGCTCCAAGAAGTACTTGGAGCGACTGGAGTACTTTTGGCGCCACGCACGATTCTTGTTGCAGTTTTGCGTGGATCGACCGTTTCTCAAGTGGAAGTTCTTCCAGAAGCGTATGGTGCGTGTAGCGGTGGATACGATCGCGAAACGTATTGTTCCCAATGTCAGCCGTTTGACGTGCGTAGCGTTTGGAGACTAGAGTCAACACAAAGGTATCAAGGGCCACGCGCTGAGTCCGGTCAAGGGTTTGAAGCAGGCGATGCAAAAGCGTGCAAAGGTGGTCTCCATAGACGAGTTCAGGACGAGCAAGCTCTGCTCGCAGTGCCACCAGACGCTTTCGCAAGTCGACTATATCGTGGACGTAAAGCTGCCGAAGAAGAGAAAGCGTAAGGGTGTGGTTTTGCCTCGAAATCGAGCTGAAGTGCAGTTAGAAGAAAAGACGTGCTACAGAGTGTTGCGTTGCGACCACGTAAACTGTATCGCTCATTACTGGGACCGAGATGTGAACGCAGCCATCAACATGGTGGAACTTCTCATGAGCGAGATATTGGGTCGTGGACGCATGCAAGCCTTCAAAAGAGCGTAGGTAGAAAAAAAGTGGAGATGAGAAAGTCTCCACCCAAGCTAGACTTGGATATTGCAGGATAGGACATTCTCAGTGACCCCTGTAATATGTGCCAGCTCAAGCTATTTGAAAACCTTGAAGAGCGAGACGACATTGTGGACTTCTATCGCGATGAACTCGTGAATGCGATGCCCAACTTGTGCATTACCTCGAAAGACATAAACAAGAAAAGGGCAGGGCAACAACGAATGCGTTGGGAGAAATGAAGATCTACTCGCTGACCAACTATGGCCGACCGGATGTGCGCGCTCTCGACGACATTTGCGCTGCCGCGTTCAACGTTCCGATCGTCGACACGTACATCGATCAGCTGCACACGTACAATTATTACATGCGGGTTTCTCCGTCGACCCAGTGGTGGTAAGATTGTGCCTGTATCGTAAAAAAAAATCAGAAAGTATACCGAATTTCCCTAAAAGGATTATCAGTTGCTGTATCAAGATGCGTGAGGTGTACTGAAAGTAAAGACTTTACCACAGCTTTGCTTTGAGTATATTAAACCAGGATAATAACATAAATCTGCTACACTACGTCGTTTTAATTCGTTTACTTACAGTACTTTGATCATTATGCAACTACTATAACTAATATTGATAATAATTTACGCTAGATTTATTTGCCGATACCAACTACGAAGTAGCTGACCTGATCTTGAAGCTGGCCATTCGCACTTATGAAGTCGCTGTCTCTATTTGCTGGTGAAGATGGTCCAGTTCTTGGCATGCGAATGCGACAGCAACTGGTTGACTTGTATACAACTCAGCATTGCTACGTGCCATCACCTTCGATGCCTTTTTAGCACTATCTAGCAGGCAGGCCGAACGAGCGGCGTAAGCGTAAGAAAATACTCAAATCGGATACCACGACGCATTGGAAAGTACAGTTATCGATAACAATAATTTCATACTGATCAATATATTTTTTATACATTATAGGTTAACATAATCAATGTTTTGCTTACTCATTCAGCCACGAACAAGCACCGAAGTTCGGAGGTACACACGCACGGCCCACAATGCCACAGCTTTTTCTATTTATTTATCCATGTATCCATACTCAGTGTCCTCGGCGCTGGTTCGTCTGTCAAGTCGCAAAAAAGTGCACCATGTAACTGCTGAAATCTTGGAGCTAACGTCTCGAATCGAAACCTTTAAAGCTGTTCCTTGCTCTCATAACTCAATCTACCGCTTCTTAACAGAACAGCTATCGTCATGGCAACACCCGAACTTCGATTCAGACGGAAAATAGGCGACGCAATGTACGGTGAAGTTCTGGAGTATGAGCTCCTGCAGCACCAACCGAACGAACGATCCTGCGTCGTTGCTGTCAAAAGCATAAACTTGTCATACGCAATAACGGCTCGAAGTCGCACTCAAGCTGATAGGGTCCTGGATGACCCTAATCAAGAATGCCGAGTCGCTAAGCTGCTCGCAAGAACCAGCGGTCATCGAAATGTTGTCAAGTCCTTCTTTCAGTTCCAGAAGAATGATTCTCTCTACTTGGTGAGTGAATTCTGCGCAGACGGGGATCTGCACACCCACCTCGCCAAGACCGGAGCGGTGGACGAGCAGTTCTCCATCCACATTATGGCCCAGATCTTTGACGGCGTCAACTTTCTGCATCGCAACCTGAACATTGCGCATCGAGATCTGTCGCTTGAAAACGTATTAATGAATAACGGAGAGTGCAAGATCTCGGACTTTGGTCTATCTGTGGAGGCCACTTCGCGCTGCTCCGATCGCGTGGGCAAGGACTACTACATGGCGCCGGAGGTGGTGGCTAGAAACGAATACGACCCGGTTAAGGCGGATGTCTGGTCGTTGGGAATTATATGGTTCGTTCTAGTCACAGGCTCCCCGCTGATCACAATCGCTTCTCAGGATAACAAGGCATTTCTCGCAATGAAAGAGTGCGGAGTCATGTCGGTATTTGAGTCGTGGAAGGTCACCACGAGGCTGTCAGCACCCGTTATGGACCTGATCTCGCGAATGCTAAAGGTTGACCCGGCAGAGAGAATTGCGCTCGACGAGATTTTGCAGCATCCGTGTCTTGACCCAGAGAGTATCAATAGACGCCGCTAAGATGTAAATTCCTGCACAACGCTTCGACGAGTTTATCCGTTGAACATATCATTGCAACTTGCAAGCCATTTGCATAAGCCACTTTATCAGCAACTTGACGGCGGACAACTCTGGAACCGCACGACTCCTGAGATCAGTTTCAACAACTGAGCTGAATCACTCAGTCGCCAGTGAGGCGAAAAAAGTTGCCGCTACTTTCAGATTAATTCCTTAACTCTGAACTGTATTGTCACGGTAATTTCGATTCTTAATTGTGTTCGATTAACTCTGAAGCTGTCGGATTAACAACTCTGACATCTAGATAAACAAAACCATTCGGCTGGCTTAACTTACAGGTCGAAAAACTTTCGTGTGGGATAAAGAAACGCAGGTGTATTTCGAAAGTCAGTGTAACAAGTGTGTAGCTTAGTTGTATTGGGCAAAATGTTTCTACGGATTCGATCCAACGAAGCTCTTTTCTTTGAGTCTGTCGAGCCGTCTGTCCACTCGAGGACGTCGACTCTCACCGCTGCTCGTCACTGTGCTACTTTCGATCCGCCCCAATTGGATGTGGTCAGTCAACCCAAAGCTAATGGACGACGGTACCAATCGCCGCACAAAAACAAAAAACAACGGAGCTGGCGGTAAAACATGTACAACAAACGAATCTGGGTTGTTCTTCACTCTCAACGCATTCGGCCAAGATTAAATCGATGGGGGGAGAAAAGGTATCCCACTGGTATAAAAGATGTGAACTTACAGCTAGTACATGCGCCAAATAATTCCTGGAGAGCAGCAAGAAGAGCTGCATTGAAAGCTTCACCGAGAGTAATTCGTTCCATAAAAAGTCGCTTGTAGCACAACCAATTTCCAGACAGTATCACGGCAAACTGCATCTACACAACGCAGTAAGACACTCCAGTTACACAGTTTATGGTAACTCCAGAACTCTTTTTCAAACTCATTTTGTCCAGGACAAATGGTGGAATTCGAACAGATAGGATTTAAAAATCGACTTTGAAAAAGATAAATTTTTACGATATGAAGTTTTTGTGATTAAAATCACAAGAACTTCATATCGTTTTCTTGATCATGTATCTGCACCCTGTTGTATGCAGCATTGAATTGGCAGAGGCTGTCGGTTTTTCTGTCCTAAAACAGACTGAAATGCCCTAAAATGCGCTAGAAACAATTATCTCACCTGGCTGGTGAGAGCGCTGGGCCCAAATACCGTGCATAACCATCAAGACCTCACATGCAAATCACTTCTATTGGACTTGTAATTATGACTAAATGCTGGCGAGAGTCGGATGACGCATGTTTGCTGTCGCCATCAACACTGTTCCAGCCTTGAAATTGATTGCACTCCATTTGCGACAACGGGGTCCCAAAATGATGTCGCTGTCGCTAATCTGCGTAATGCTTGATGATTACATTTCGTTTGGACTGGTGTGAGATCCCCACTTCAAGGGTCTAGATCCCAACCATTTCCAAACTTCTTTTCGTCCACCGCTTCGACACTCCACTCCTGGCATGATATGTGGCCACTTCGTCGGACCCCACGTGAAGCTGAGTGGCAGTGTGATTGGCCCCGTACTGCCTCGCCGAGCAAGACACGCGATCATGGACAACGTCCTGCAGGCCTCGCTGGAGACAAGTGTTGACCTCGCCTTCCAGTACACCACAAGAGGGCTGTCCAGCACGCTCAAACGAGCTGCTCCTACAAGACCAATGTCCAATACCAATCAGATCGCAATTTCCTTCCACTCCCAGCCTCTCGAGACGTCACGTGCACCAACAAGCAACGCAGAGCTACCAGGTCTGAAGTGTCATCGAGACAATGACGAGATGGACAAGTTTAAGAGACTTGAGGTCAAGAAGGCCATCCGACGTGAGCAGTGCCGAAAGAACCAGACACGCCACCGTCGTAGAAAATGCACCCTCCACCAACGCATTCAACACGAGGTGCAGCAGTTGCGTGAAGAGGTGCAGGGATTGAAGCTTAATCGTCAACTTCTACGGTTCGAGAAAAAGACAAACCCGAGTGCGTGGAATATCGTGAGCGACGTCTTCCGCCTTCTGGAAATCGGTTTCTGCGCTCCATGGCACATGGTAAATGCCGACGAGATGATGAAGCACACTGAAATGTGGCAGATTCTGGTTGAGTTGCTGAAGTCTTTCGAGCAAGCTGTGGGCATGGAGGGCCTGCATGGCGTGGAAATGCTACTGGAACAACTACGACGCTACTCGTTGTATTTCAGCGAGCCTCAGGTGCATTTGCAGCGAGTTGAGGAGCTGGTTCCTGGTGTTGTGACGGTTACTGCCCGGCTCAAGCTGACGGTGTCGGAATTCACGTTGCGCTGTGTGTTTCCGCGCCTTGAGAGACCGAGGGTTGGTGGTGACGATGTGGAGGACATACATCGGTCTCTACGAAATAAACTGCTTGGTAGGCGGCTGGACTGCCTTTGCAAGGTGACATTCCCAATGAACGAGGAGAGTGGCCGCGTGAGTCGATTAGAGATCTGTGGTCTGTATTGACGTGGTCGGCTCGTTGCTTCAGGTGCTGAGGAATACGGCTGATGTACCAAGCGTACTCGACGACGCACTGATAACCCCCAGACGGCGTTATTGGCGAGTTAACAGCCTTGCTGTTATAACGGCGATGATGCAGTCCCAGCCAATCTGGAGGAAGTCCCGGCCGGAGTGACACTTGTTGGAGGCGAGGAATCCATTCCTGAATCCAACACGGAACGATTCATCGAGGGCCGTGGTCGGTTCTTCTGTCACCGCTTCCACTTCCCGTACGGCAGCGGTTTCCGCTACAGATGGCGCTGGTGGAAAACGTTCGGCCGCCCTATCTACGGTCCCCGTTGCCTGTTTGGTCGTCCTATTGGAGGCTTCTTCTACTGCTAAATTGCTGTGAAGATCTCACAAGCATTTGCTCTGCTTGATTCATATAAATCGAGCGTGATAAATAATCCTTGGCGTACATCAACATGACTTGAATGGCGATCTGTTTTATGCTTGTTTTTTTTGTTAATTTTCCAGTGTTTTATTATTGAATATGGTTCAGGAATGCACTATTTCACCTTCACCTACGTCGGAGTGCCAAGGCCAAACGCGAGCAGATCGAGAAATTTACCGTACTGAGGTTTCTGAGAATGACTAATCAAAGATATTTCCCAAGGTTTCACATTGGCTTCAGCGACTGGCAGTCCAGTATCTGCTCCTCCGGTGACTCCTCCTACAGCCTCAAACCGAGGAATTAACCATGGTGGCGCCAAATACATGTTGTACCCAGATAAATACATACGAAGAATGGCAGCTCCCGATACAGAATCGATCTCTGGGCCGTACATGGTAGCGAGAAGATCATACGCTAACAGTTGCGACGCAATCCATTCACGTAGAGCCATCGCAGCATCGTATATCGGCCTGGTGTCGCTTGTGTCGATCGTATAGGACAGCAATTCATTGTTTACGTGTATGTTCCAAGCAGTATCAGCGTATGTCCGTAAAGAAATAACGACCGATGCTCCAAAAATATTATTCACAAACGTTGGTATGTGAAATCCTAGTAAAGGAGAGGCAACATCGCCATATTCCAAGTCACACGAGATCGAAAGGCACGTCAACTCAGCCGCGAATAAGTCCCAGCCTTGTCGAGAGAGGAAAATATCCGGAGTGAGCAGTACTTGGGTTAAATTCAGGGACACTCGAGCGCTCCCATATTCATTCTCTGCGCTAGTGCTTTGTGTCCAGCCATATTCGCGCAGTAAGGGAACAAGTCTGTCCCGTGAAGACTCGACGCAATCAGTATCATCCCGACAAAGTGCGATATCGTCTTGACATTGACGACAGGTGTCATCAGATAAAATGGATCTGGAGATCGACGTTGGAGTGGTGGTTGGCACTGGAATGGAATTGTCAATTCCGTCCGATAACATCTTCAGCATCTTGGTATACTGTGGTTTCTGGCGTGTGGACGAGATGACCATGCTGGGTAATGTAACATTTGCCTCAGCACGAGGGAAACTATCCCCGATGTCAACTAGTCCTCCTACAGCAGAAAACTGAGGAATCTTTGTCGGATTTACCATCAAGTACTGATACTGATCCTGATCAAAGCTGCCGAACACTCGGATGCTTAGGGTGATTGCGCCTAGATTACTGAAGACTCGGTTAACTACTTGAAATTCAAGTTTCACTGAGTCGTCCGATCCCAGAGCTCTAAGCCAATTCTGAAAGGGAAGAGTATAATCAGTTGAGCTTGTAGATACTTGAATGGGTTTGTATGAGAAAACCACTCCATTTATTTGAACATCCCACTCGGTGTTGCCGTATGTCCGCAATTCCACTTTAACGGAAGGTACAAGTTCCAATTTCGTCGGCATATGTTCCATCGTGTTATCGACGTAGACATCGCTGTATTCCATGTCATATGAGCCGTTTGCGAGACAAAAGAACTCGCCAGCGAGTAAATCCCAGGCTTTCGAAGAGTAGGCTCTATTCAGAGATACCATTAGTGGGTACAAGTCACCTCTGAATGCTGTAGTGCCGTAGTCATCTACTACAGTCGTTTTCATAGGAGTTTGTAGACTGCTTTGTGTACTGGTTAGCAAAAGTATTAGCGAATCACGCGTCAGCGAGACACATTCGGAGTCATTTTGACATCGAGCTAGAACCCAAGAGCACTTCCGACATGGATCAGTAGACGATATTTCTTGAGTTGGGGACACTACAGTCGAAGAAGGCGTTGGAGTTGTAGCCGTCCCGCCGAGACCAATTTCTAATAGATCCAGGAACTTGTCGTACCGAGGAGTCTGACCAATCGACCATAGTTTTATATCCCACATCGTATAGTTTGCCCCTGCGTATTGGATATTATCCACACCTCCAGATTCCGTTCCTCCGGCCACTTCAAACACAGGAACTAGCGCTGGATGTAGCATTGTATACCGTCCAGTGACAGTGTCGTAGCCTCCGTAAAACTTCACTTTAAAACTGGAAGCATCCGAAATTACAGTTCCATCCCAACTACCTACACGCACGATAAGCTCAAATGGGACTTTACCACTCAACTCTTCAATCCAACGCTGAAACGCGGGGGTCGTTACATCAAGACTACCGGAAGTAGGCGAGTAGATAAACTCCATATCGTACACAGTAACTCTCCATTTCGTGTCTGCAAATGTACAAATTCGATAGATCGCAGCGATTTTCCCAACATTTATGAACGAAGGTTGGTAGGTGGCTACGTTGTTGTATCCCACTTCACATGAACGTTGAGCGAGGCAGATCATTTCTGCGGTAAACGCGTGCCATGCCGAAGTGCTAATGGCACTTGATGGAATGGATCGAAGAAGACTGGCCAGATCAATTTCTAGACGTCTGGGATCACTTGTATTGGCTTTGGCAGGTGGTGTAGCAACACGGAACATCGGAACAAGCCTGTTCTTTGAGGATTCTGAGCAATCAGGATCGCTCTGACATCTTGCCAAGGCAGATTGGCATAAGCGACAAGAATCTGTCGTTGATAAATGTTCCAAACGGGTATACGGTGTACCGGTGTTTGACGTTGTGGGTGTGCCTGAACTAGTGGATGTCGAGCTCCCACTGAATATCTTTGCATTATCGTGTGGCACCACTCGAAGCTGAGTAGACCCGCCTTCCATTACAACTTGTTTTATGTTGCCTGCTTTGAGAGAATTGTCAATTACCACTGCTTCCATTGTGAACTTTGGCAGGAAAACGTGGTGGTAAATGATCTCAAGTGCCCACTCCGATCCGTCATTGCTTGTACTTGATCTCGCGCCCCCAACTAAAATCCCAGTCAAAGTATACAACGTGTCATTGACCTGTTGTCCGATTTGATCATCTGAAGCTGAAGGAGACAATGGTGTGGTAGTGGCGATGAGGAGTCCGCTTACTGAGTACTTGATCTTTATACTCGCAGTGTCAATACTTGATGAAATGCGAAGTATCTGAATGTACGACGATGTTTCCAGTACAATCATTTGTGTATCTTTCACCAATGCAATCGACCCAAAAGGACATCGTGTGGCCGAGAAACAAGCAAGACTGGAGCTTGCGTCCAGAATTCCAGCAAGGTTATCCAGATTAGATGAAGTGGTTCTTATACATCGAGTGATCTCGGAACTTACTGGTCGCTGGGTACTAGTCACCATCATTGTCTCGTAGAGTGATGGTGGTAACTCGTGGCGAATACATTGTCCGAAACTAGTGCCTGCCGCGTTGTAATTACACGTTCCATTCGTAATCTCTTCGGTAGAGCATCCAAACAATTGGGAACTGCATGAAACGCAGTCAGCAGCCAAAGTCCATGAGTGATTGGCCACTGTCTTGACTCTTGCCTGGAGCTTGTCGATTAAAGTGCTCAATGCTGGTCGAGTAACTTCTGCTGGGAATTCTAGAACAGCTTTAGGAGGAGATTTTTCACTTTCTATGAATTGCCCAGTCGCAGTGTAGAACGAGAGAGTGTGAAGTAGTAGAGCGTCCGAGTAGTTCAGCGATATTTGCAGCGTACTTGAGTCAGCATCATCAGGTTCAACTAGAACGGACACTCTTGCGGCTTGTGCGAGCACAAATGAGCGAATAAATATCCCTAGATAAGACGCCGACGCATTGTACGTAAAAGTCTCAACGCTGGTCGTATTCTTTCGGATATCCCGTTTCACGATTTTAAGATCCACATTATCTGTCCCGCTGGTTGTCGGTGTCACTACAAACTTTTGTGTACCGTTAGTTAGCCGAAATAATGTAGGTAAGTAACTTGTGTTGGTCATAGTACTGGCGCCGAGAGGACAAGAAAACTTTGCAAAGCAAAACAAGGCATGGCGGATAGGAGCCCATACCGACACTGGAAGAGCCGCCACACACGTTGCCAAAGGCCCAAGGAAATCATCCTCCTTTATATCACCAGCGTCAGTCCCAGCATCTCCCGTATTTGTTAGACTACTACCACTTCCCCCGTCGTTATTAGCGCTCTCTCCCAAGAGTATTAGTTGCGTTATTAAACATGGCAGTACAATTGTCTGGCAATGCTCACTGTCCCGACAAGTATTGAGAAAATCATCACAAGCATCACACGAACTACCAGTTGAACTTGAGTCCGTATCTGGTGTACTAAAAGTAACCAAGGGGTACGCGTCGAGAGGTACCACATCGCGCTTCTCAGTGTTTTTTGTTATGGATAATACCACTCGAATCGTGTTCCCATCTACTCGGCGAGTAGTATGCGTCACTCGTTGGTTGCCATACATTCCATACACTTCAATCGAACTCGTTATTGTGCGTACATCCTTTAACTGAACCCTTATAACCACGAGTAACTGGTCTCCAGCCGATAATCTTTGGCTGCGTTGTCGAAGTCGTAGTAACAAGTCAATTACCGGCCCCGTTGCTGTTGTGTTCGTTTGGAACCACCACGTTGTAACCTCAGTACCTCCTGGTATCAACGGTAGAATGGTCGACGAATCGTGCATGTCGAATGTAGCAGATGCTATAGGATAATTGCTGTCGTATTGGTGCAGGAAGAACGGATCGGTCTCGAATATCGAAGAGATCTTCAGTTGAAGACACAGTCGAGCGTCACTGCACACAATGGAGTCGGATGGAGCCATGAACTCGTAGGCTGTAGGGGCAGAATCCAAGCCTCCAAACTTCACGTGGCGACTAGTGGAAGACGTCGATGGGTGGATCATGCCTGCAATGTCAGGTACTACCACGCGCGCAGTGTTAACCGCGTCTCCCACGCTCGTCAACGACAGCAACAACAGGCACATCAACAACATGGTCCCCATGATCGACGAGGCCAATGGTCTTATATTACTCCAATTCAAATCGGTATATCTATTATATGTGTGAGGATATGTATTACTGAAGGAGCTGTAAAACTTGACTATATAATTTGAGGATCAAAGTATCTTTTTTCTTAAGGATCTTTGGAACATTGCAACATCTATTTATATAAGTTGCTAACGCGGGGTTCCGTCAACCACCTGTTTACAGAGCTGTCACGCTCCTTGGGGCTGTTCACTGGCTGAGCGTGTGTCAGCCAATCAAAGTGGTGAGATTCGTATAGGCTGCTCTGTGGACACCACTTTATTAGTGGGCGGTGTGAGTAGGCTATTTTACAGGTTGCAGTATGCAAGCCAGTTCTATCTTTTTGTTATTGTCACGCTTGAGCCAGCTCATCTAGGCCTAGGCCATGTGTCCAGTCGACAGGCGAGTAACTGGTGGAGATCTTGCTCATCAAAGCTTGCCAGTCCACCCCACAACTGATTTTCAACCATAGTGCGCCATTGAGAGCGACTTCAACTGACCAAGATCGCAACGCCACGTGCTGAAATATAGTAGTCACGTGTTGCCAACAGGACGATCAGCTTTCCGCATCGTTAGGCCGAAGAAGATTTTCTATGATGCAGCCCAAGTTGTGAATAAGAGATAAGAGAGTTACCCTCTCTTACCAGTAGTTGAGCTCAAATGTAACAATGTCGCATTACGACCTGAAAACTGAACCAACTCCTGTCGACTAACACTGTATCACTCCACGTTTCGTTTTGTCTAGGACAAGCCGAGCGGAGCCCCGCTAAGCGGGGCTTTTTGAACAGTGTTAAGCCGAGCTGGCAGGGCACCCGCCTCGCTTCGCTCAACGAGAATGCGAAACAAAACGCTGAGGTGTTCGCGAGACACGGAGATAAGATCCGACGACGCCAGGACTGCATTTAGCTCGAAGGTGCAAAAACATCTGAACGCACACACTGGAACGATAAAACCGTCGGTAGCGCTTCTATCGCGTGCCAGCTCACCGGAGCTTCAATCTTCTTGCATTTCGGGTTTTGCCGCCTGATTGAAGCCGTCGTTGTCTGTCATGCAAGTGCTCCACGAACGATATCGAGTCACGCGCGACCTTAGCGCCACACTATACGGGTGTGTTGTCGCCTGCCAAGACACACAAGGTGAGCAGAAACTCGAACCGAAAACTGCTCTCGTATCCCCTGTTGTAGTCAAGCAAGTGTCACTGGAGCGCATGGCAAGCGTCATGAGAGACTTCCCGTCCGATGGCCACATGCCGGACAACCCGTTCGTCGAAAAAGAGGTCGGTGACATCATACGCGCTGCCGGGGGACACCCCAACCTCGTGCAGTACAAAGAGTCAATCCTTGACCAAAAGACTCTCTACCTGGTTTTGGAATACTGCGCCGACGGTGATCTATACGACTACCTCAGTAGAAGAAAACAACGCACCATGTCGTGCTCTAACGCGCTCAGTGTGCTGTCCCAAGTGGCCATGGGTCTGGCGTTTCTACACAAGCACGGGATCGCACACCGTGACATCTCACTCGAGAACATCATGCTACACCGGGGACGGTGTAAAATCGGCGACTTTGGGCTCGCTACACGCGCCAGCATCGCCAATGGGCGACAAGTGGGCAAGAAATACTATATGGCGCCCGAGATCGTCGCAGGCGAGACGTACGACCCCAAGGTGGCGGATGTTTGGTCACTCGGTATTGTGTTCTTCATTATGCTCACGGGTTCGCCGCTCGTTTCGTTGGCTTCCACGTCTGTCAAATCATTCCGTACACTGCAACAGGCCGGCATCAAGACTGTTCTTCAAGCCTGGGGGATCGCGCCGACCATGTCCGAGAGTGCCGTGGATCTTTTGTCGGGCATGCTGCAGATCGATCCTCAGAAGCGCCTGACGGTTGCCCAGGTGCTCGATCACGACGCTTTGAGCTCGTCAGGTGGCTGTACCAAGACAGCCTAAGTTCGCGAACCAGTAAAGTGACCAGCACCATGCACGTTTAAAGCGGTATAGCGTGTTCTAGTCGTTGAACCTGTAACTATATAAATAAATGTACCCATGTAGACTACTACAACGGTCACTAGCGGCTAACTAGCCGCCGCTGGTTTTTAGGTAAATTCAAGGTTAATTAGGGTGAACGGATTGGTCTGGACCACAAAATACCGGTAATTAAGGATTCAAGAAGCCGGTAGTTTCGCGTCCTCTGGACGCAGGATCTCGTCTGAATTTAGCCGACGGTTGCTGCTCGCACCAGTCACTTCTCCGTTTTCTTTGGTGTTGAGACTTCACTTGGCCATTCCATTAAAATCGAGAGCACACCCCAAGTGAACAGAGACCCCAAGTTCCAATTTACCGGGCAATATGTGCCGCACCATCCAACCGCCGGGCATTTTCTTCATGCCGTCGACAGCGACGCTGGAAGAGTTCCAGTTCCTCCCACCGCCCGTGCCACTCCCGCTATGCCCCAGTTATATGACTAAGAAGACAGACGTCGATCTTCCTGCACCATTACCGCCGTCGCAGGTGCTACGACGTGGTCTAGAGTTCGTGCTGAGTGCTGAAGGCGTTCGCTTCACGGACCTCGCCTTCGTCGGTGAAGTAAAGGCCCGGATTGCTGAGCTGATGAGCATAGCCTCGGCGTCAGAGGCGTCGAACAACAACAACTCCCGTTTGGCAAAGAAGACTCTCAAGTTCAGGAATATCGCACAGCAGGAACAGTCTGGAGAGGTTGCTGTCAGTGCTCTGTGAAGCCAGATCCACATTTTCCTTCAACACTGACTTCCTGAGACAGACTCTACCCAAACTTACTTAATCAATCTCTGCATTTTAGCTTCACCCCAAACCACTGTTAGATAAGAATACTGTGATTTTGATAATTGCTGCATCTCGATACTTGCACTCGATATTTAGATCCCAAAACCCTTGCGAGGCCCCTTCAAAAAATGATTCCCTGCCGTACCCAATCAGATTCTACTATCACTTGGTCTTAGTATTTTCGGGCTTTCTCTGTAATTACGTGTGGTCTACAATATGAGGGCTACGCGTAGGCTGGGAAAGCTATCAACCCAGTTATTATTTCTTTTAAATTGTAGCGCTGTATAATGGATGCTGCAGAAATGCATTTTTGTTGAAAACCACTTTCTTGAAGTGAGAGTCGACAGCCTTAACCCCTTAAGCGCGACGGCCTGTATTCTCCGAGATTACGAAAAAAGATTAACTTGTATGGTCCAGGATAAGAATGTTTGACTAGAAGTTTGTATTGATGTATACAATATTTAACACAATCAAGGCTCGGGTACGAAGATAATCTATCAGATCCCTCTTGCTCATCGCTCCATGCACACCGTATGTAAATTAAGAAACAGAGGTATAGACCGATGTGAAGCACACATATAACATTTTACAGTTTGCAAGCCAACGGCCACACATTTCGTTCATTCAAGAATCCGCCGGGAGAAAGCAAAATGTCCGGTTTTAGGCTGCGCTGGTCTGACCTAACGAAAGAGGGGTGGCGTTCGAGGCTGCCGACGGGCCTCTCGAACAGCTACACGTACCTCAAGCCTGGAAAGACTAAGAAAGACGTGCGAGGTGTGGATTATTTCGTGGGCGAAGAGGAACTGATGAAGTATTTGGACCGGGTTGATTTAGGTGGGTGCACGTCACACCGCAATGAATTTACAGCTTACTGACGTGTGAATGAATGCCAGAAGCGGCAAAGGACTCTCAATCAGATGTTAGCAGTGCTGCAGTAAGCTAAGACGTCCCAAATTCTCCAAACGACGTCCACCGTACGTTATCCTGTATAATACATACTACTACCACTCTAATCCTGTATCTCTCGTTTCTTCTGTATGCATCAGAAACTGCATGCGCATCAACACCAGACGAAAATCATCCCCTGGTTGTGAAACTACAGTCGCTAGGGAAGGAGATAAAACCACTGCTACTAGTGGGCTTTCCACAGCAGTTGACACCAACCTGGACGGTGCGCCATGTATCATACAGGATACCCGGCACTGCTATTCTGTATCTAACATATTGTGCGTGTTCATGAGCAGACGACGACCAAGCCGCATCTTACGGAGAGTCTGTGTCTCCTACTCTGCGGTATGAGTCTCCTCACGTGACTCACCGAGAGTCACAATCGCCAGTTGTTTCTTCAGGTTCGAATTTCTCCCCGTCACCTCGCCGCAACCTAAGAGAAGAATTTGACAATGAAGAAAACGAAACTCGTGGGGAAGTAGACGGCAGCAGAAACGAAGTGCCGAGTAACGAGGAAATTGAACTTCGTCGTCTAGCGATAACTGCGGCTGATAACTCAGGTTGGTTATCTTGTATATACAAGATATTGATACTGAATATTGATGCAATCCTGTATGTGTATTTGTACATTTATAGATGTCAATGTCTATCAAGATATAGACAACCCCGATGACTTTACCGCAATGGTGTCCGATGCTGAGAACGACGATGGCGCCTCTGGTGATGAAGAGTGCGTGGAGGAAGAAACCAATTCACTCGACGGAAGCGACGACAACGAAGAGGACGCAATTGAAGATGCAGTGTTCAACAAGGATTTCCTTGAAGCTGCTGGTGGTATTGCTGGAATTACCAGAAGCACAGTAAACGCCACCGTCCTGAAGGACATGTCATTGAATGGCTGGACGGATCCAGTATCATTCGCGCCCTATCCATACTTAGACCAACCGTATGAGGCTCGCAGCAGTGATTCTATCAGTACCGATTTTCCAAATCTCTATCGAGGTGACTATGGACCGTCGACTCGAGCACTCGAAGCAGCTTCAACAGTAATAGGGAGTTTCTTCTATTTCGTTCAACCACAGTTGTGGAACAGTATTACTGAGGCGTCCAATGATTATTTCCTGGAGAAGATTGATGAACGAGTGGAGGGGCAGTACCAGAAGCAGCTAGTACGCGAAAGAAAACAGCCGCGGTATCGAAAGAATACACGGGAGGATATAAAGACATCTCTTTTGGGAACACCGGACATATCAGCTCGAGAGCTATGCGTTTTTATCGGTCTTTTGATTGCTCGAACGATAGCGCCCAACAAGGAAAAGTTGGAGCATCACTGGAGAACTACAGACGATGGTGCAATTCCGCGCGGCCGCTTCGGACTCTACATGACAAGAGACCGCTTCATGCATATCTCGCGGAACCTGCACTTCAGCAACAACGCAGAACATCGGGCCGTAAGTGACCGAGCATGGAAACTCCGCCCTGTGATAGATGCACTCCAAGAACGTTTCAAATCTGGATACAGGCCGCCGCCCGTAATGGCCTTTGATGAGGCAATGCTACCATCGAGGTCTTCTTTTAACCGCATGCGGGTTTACATGAAAGACAAACCCCACAAGTGGGGTACTAAGCTTTTCATGCTGTGTTGCTCTTCTTCAGCTTACTGCATCCGGTACGTGCGAAGTTACTTCCGCCAAGATTTCTTATCTGGTATCATCCAAACTTCTTATTGTGCTATCTTGTATTATACCGGTTCTAAGTTTACTGTGGGAAAACCCAAACCGGGGTGAGCACTGCTGGGACTGACGCGAAGTCAGGGCCAGCCGCTGTCGTTCGAAACCTGAAAGAGGTGTTTGGATGTAGTGGATCGAGAGAAAAGCGATTGATTGTTACAGATCGATTCTACACGTCCCCCACGCTTGCCATGCAGCTTCTGACGCTCGGGTTCTATACTATTGGTACTGTTATGACCAACCGACAGGGGTTTTGCAAGGCTATCGTGGAAAAAAAGAAAAAGAGACCCTCTGATGTGCTGAGGGGCACGTACACAGTTGCATACTCGACGATAGTACCAGGCATCAAGGCTGTATGTTGGTGCTCAGCACCGGGGGCAGTATTGAGCAGGACCGAGTAGTGCGGCGAGAGAAATCGGGAGTACGGGCAGAGATCGCATGTCCAAGAATCCTGAAGGACTATCAGACTTTCATGGGCGGCGGGATGTGCATGATCAACTCCGCCTTCAAAGGTAAGTAATCTTATCCTGTATGTACATGTTTGGATATTGATATAATCTGTATAATATATTGTATGCAGGTACTCACTACAACTGGCATTGAAATACAAGAAGTATTACAAGAGTCTTTTCCTTGGGTTCCTTGATTTAGCGATTGTGAACGCATTCATCGTGTACAACCACCGGCGAGTCGCCGAAGGGGAAAAAAGATCTCACACATCAAGTTCCTCAAACAGCTTCACTTAGAGCTCGTTCAAATGCAAGAAGGGGATTGGGAGATAGTATGCAGCACCCAGCAGACACCAACAAAGTCGCGGGTGGGTGGCCCAGTTCCGCATCGTGTGCATGACCTCGTCCAGGTAGATGAGTGGCGGGATGGAAATAATGGACAAGGGCGGAAACGGCGTCAACGCACCTGTAAGGTGTGCTCAAAATTGAAACGATCCGACGGACCAAAGGTGGCGAGACGTCGTACTACCGCGAGCGTGTAAGCTCCCTACGTCTTCGAAGCCGTTGGCTGCACGTGTATATCTGTGTAACAAGATCAAGCACAAGGTAGACGGAAGGGAGCTGTCATGTTATGATATCTGACACACAAGCTGGCGGAACGGGACCAACATACCTCCATCAGTGAAGAATAACCGGATTCGCGCGCGCACTCCAGGAAGCTCTACAGGCGCGGGTGGTAGCACAGACGGAAGTGACGTTAACCGGCAGCACAAGAAGCATCAGCGTGTAGAGACGACTAGCTGATCTACAGTAATTCATATCTTGATACATTTTTGTTTTTGTATGGTAAATACTGTCCGGTTTGGCAGGTGTCATTGCTGCCTGTCTTTGGACAGCTATTGCTATGTTCTGACGATTGTGCGCGCTTGATTTTTGTACGGCAACGTACACGACCAAACTATTATCTTGTATTTCTTGATACTGCGCTTCGGTATTATACATGATACCATATTTTCACCATCTCAGGGGTTGGTATACAGTGAGGCTATCCATATGCAGGATATCTAAATATGTTATATTAAGTATTCAACGCTTCCCCCAAGATACAAGATAATGGAGATAGGGTTTCGGTAAATGAGTGCGCTGAAAATCGCTCGCGCTCAAGGGGTTAATGTATGTGGCGGTGTACACAGTCTACTAAGCTCTTCGATATATCTGATAGGTTTCTTGGTCCATGGAACCACACCAAAGCGTGTGATTAGTAGCGTCGAGACCAGTTCTGTTCGAACTAGCTCAACGTTCTTGAATGTTAGAGCACAGTAGGTTAGAATATTTGCAGTTTGCACGACCTTCAGAAAAAAAAGTTTTCTACATGAGCAGCCAATAATACAGATACAGCAAACTTTTCGCCAGAAACAACATTCTTCAATCTGCCAAAAGCTATTATTAAAAAAAAGTCCCTCAACCTGCAATCGAATATTTTACGTTGTTTTGCTTAGGCTATTTACGTCAATGCATCGCCCTAGCCATATTATGTATGCACGTGCATCATCTGCCCATGCTTCGCAGCTGCAGCAACTGCTTCATGAGTACTTCATGAAGATGATGCTGTTTGAGCTTCAACCATATTGTAAATATTGGAGACAAAATCCAAAATGGTTATTCACAGACAGCAACAAATTGGCGAATCGAATCTTGAGCCGGTCCGTGCTGCGGCTTCGGCAGGTAACACGCACCGGCGAAAATACATGCTTAACTCAGTATTTAGTCAAAGTTGGTATTGTGCTTTCCGGCCAAATTTGCCTCTTTCGCTATATTCGAAGAGTTACATGCATTTAAAATCCCTGGCAGTTCGAAACGGTTTAGGGCTACACCGTCTACGGTCCCTATCGTACTTAATCGAGCCAATACTCAAACTAAGTTCGAAGCAGATTTGCGCGGTTGACTGCGCTGTTAAAACAAAGAACCGCGCACGGAATTTCGGAGTAGAACTCGCAATATCATCCGAGAACAAAGCGCGCGTCCTTTTTCCTCACGTATACTGAATACGCCGTTTTCATTGATCAACGTACTGCTACATACCTTAAAATGACAGTAACCTGCTGGATGAGACTTGACTGCATCTGGACTCAGCTATCGGCTCCAGTTTATCGGCATCAAATACCCCGGGGCCTCACCGAATTAGTCTGTTTGGGCTGCCCAGCAGCACACAGAAAAATATTAACCCTGGATATAGAGATGGAAAGACGTAGCTAGCCGAGCGTTCAGCTGGATTTACGCCTGATGTCCAAATTCACCCACGGAATGGCAGTCTTGAGTTGTTTGGTTGATTTTGAAATAAAGGAACAGTTACGGTAGCCGAAGATTGTTAAGGGCCGCCTAAATACATTTCAGCATATGATTCTTTCTTAGATTTTGTTCTTCAGACCGTAAGTAAATTTCAGCAAAATCACCATCAAGCTGTTCAATTGTCATTGTAAGGTGTATCCTATATCTGATAGTAGAAGGACACTCATGACGTTTAACTGCGCTTCGCATTCGAGATGAGCGCGGGCTTTCATGTTTTGGAGAGCTGAAATATTTATCAGTAGAATAGGTCGGTGCTCAAAAAGAAGCAAGACCGCCCTTACCGCCGTGTCCACACGCACAGCACTAGTACATGACAGCGCACTGGTGCAGCGGGACCATTAACGCCGTCATTAATGCCCGAGCGGACAACGCCGTCCCGCCACGCACGATATTTTTTGCAATAGCAGCGACAGTGATAGCGCCGGCTGTGTACCAGAGCTTCAGGACGAAGCAGGATGGGCAACGGACGTAGAACTTGGCCATTGCATGGCACGGTCTGTACCGTGTCGAGAGCAAGGTGGGTTTGAACACGTACAGCCGTAACAATCTGGCAAGTTGGCTACAATGAACGTGAACCAGCTGAAACACTATCGTGGAAGGTGGATCCGACCGTTCATGGATGAAGTTCCTGTCGGTCTGGATGACGAGCCATCGAATGAGCCTTTGGAAGTGTCCGACCTACCTGCGTCTATTTGACGGCTGGTCGTGAAAACACGGTTATCGCTAGCGCCGGCTGATGAACTGTGGAAATGGTTGGAGACTACCAAGCATGATACAGGAGAATCAGTGGAGGAATGCTGAATCGATGGCAAGGACCACGGTCGCCAAGAAACGATGCTCCGATGATCACTACTACTACTACTATTACTACTACTACAATTGTGCCGGGTACGCAAAAGTTTGATTGCTACTTGGGCAAGCGGGAGTACGACTTGCACACGGACCACAAGGCGATGACATGAGTATTTATGTCGGGTAACCGGACCACGAGCGCTAAGCTAGCGCGGTGTGCTATTGGGCAATCTAGTCGACAGGTCAAGGTACATCACAAGCCTGGTACGGCTATGTGTCATGTTGATGGACTGTCTCAGAGCGCAGTCGAGGAGCGAGACGGAATGGATGGATTGCGAACTTGCGGAGCCTGCAGACAGCCAGGGTGGACCGGTGAAAAAAATGGTTGATAACGAGGAGGGCATCGTGAACGTCCCTGCCTCTGCGGTGAACGTGTTTTGGTCTTGGCTTAAAGCAGTTTATGACTGAGCAGCAGGTAGTGACGTGAATCCGAGCATTGGCTCGTAAGGAGCCACCGACAAGTCGACGTCTGCTTTCGACGTTACCTCCCCCAAGCCGGAGATCCTGTCCTGGGCAGCGGCAAACACCTCGGTCGTAACTGGGTTTTTTTTCAAGGACAGTGCGCTCTCGGTGAACCCGCTTTTCCGATCTCAAGCGATGAAGATGGTTCCGAAGCATTCCGTGGAGAACGGTCCATTAATGCGGATGGTGTATCTACAAGCTAGGATTGGTCCGGCACGGATGTTTACCGCTCCTATGGTATATTGTGAATGCCCTGTAAATTCGGACCATCCTACACTACTGGCATTCGGATGTGTTGTCGTGCCTTTTGGGTTTAACGAAGCCGCTGAAGAAAGTGAGGAGTCATGTGTATTGGCCGGATGAAGGAATGACGTTGCTGAGTAGATGCTGGCGTGCAATCAGTGTGGAAGTGATAAGGAGTCTAGACCGCGGAGTGCTGATCAGAAACAACTGATGCCGGTCGCTGTCGTGGCTGGACCACTCTAGTAGTTAATGGTGGATGCGGCAAGACCGTTGCCTGGCAGCCTGGGGTGGAGCGCAGAAACCTTTATATTCTCGTGTTCGTGGACTATTTCACCCGAGGGACTGATGCTTTCGCGGTCGATCGTCTGGATTCGGTCACTTTGGGGACGTCATGGTGAACGTTATGATGGCTCATCGCGGTTATTGAGCGACAACGGTATTAATTTTACGCCGGAAATTGCCATGTTGTTCTATCAGACGTTTGGTATCATGAAGGTGTACATATTATCCGCAGACACATGGACTTATGGAACAGTTCAATGCTTATCGTATGCTACCGATGCATGTTAGTGAAGAACAGAACGACTGGTACGTATATACCGCGGGTGCTGTTCGTTTATCGGACTGCCTTCCACGAGGCGTTAGGTGATTTGCCGATTTTTTTCATTGCACAGTCGTGACCCGACGATTTCGTTGGGCGTCGCGTTCCTAAATTTGAGTAAAAAGTGGAAGAGCCATGATGTGGCTCTCTATCGTCGGGAACTGCGTCGGTCGCTGCATGGAGAACTTCGAGTGAGCTGTGGATTCTTGCACGCCACCTTTCACACCTTACGTAGAAGTCTTGACAGCCCGATCGTCCTTGGTCGTACTCCGTAGCTGTGCACGCGTTTGTCGGTCCAATGCCATCCATCCTAGCCAACGCGCTTGGCCTTAGTGCTCGTAGCTTCGCGGCCACAACCTCAAATGCAGGTTGGGTGGCGCCTTGATGACTGACTTGTGCATCAATGCTGTGACGGGGTCACACAGCACCTTGTGCAGAGGAAGTTTATTTCCTCTAGAGTATACAAACTCTAAGTGAACGACCGTTCACGTGTCCCTGGTCTGAA